TAGTAAAGATTACCGTCCGACTCGTTCTGTACTACTAAATCGTCGATACTCTCATCGAACAGCAAAACAAAAGGCACGTGGTGATTGTCTACGGGCAACAGAGGCGTGGTGGGTTTAATGAGGTCTAGTCGCTCTGGAAGACTAACGAATACAAGGTCGAGAAGCCTTCCGTTCGCATTCACATATCGGTTAACTTACATGATCTTCAACCTGAATCAAAACATTGAAAAAATATTACAATTCAAGATAGAGCTGGAATTCGGACGTAACAGCTTTTGTAAACAATGACTTCTCTCGATGATTTCTAGGAATTCAAGGCACACCCACGCAAACCAACATAACCATCGGAAAGCGGAAGTCTTCTGTGATTTTGATTTGCGTAAGCGAGCCTTCACCTTCTAGAAATTACCAAGAGAAGTGATTGTTTCCAAAAGCTGTATCTAGAATTGGGTTATTTTTTATAAATCATATTAGCTTAGCTTAGCTTACCATCTGTTGTGTATTATTTGATACTCCAGGTCTAAACTCATTGTTAATTGTGAAAATTTCTGGGTCTTCAAACAAATCATTTAATTTGAGCTGTTGGATACATTTGTACTCTAACTCCTGATCGAACACAGAGAGCAACTCTAAAAGAGTAAGTTTAAGATCATTTGTAACTTGACCTGCATTTGACAAAAGATGAATTGCTTGGCCGATAGGCTGAAAAATATGAGACTTTACATCTTGTTGTATTTGAAATGCTATTTTTCGAGGTAATGTGTCTGCACTAAGCCACTTTAACGTGAAGTTTAAACCCATGGCTTTATTTCCATTTGACAAAGTATCTATATCTATAGTCTGCGGTTTTTTCACATTGACATTATGAACACTCGGCTTCATCAGCTATGTCTATTGATTTCGATTTTTCCTCTATGATATGATTATATTTTTATTTAATACATCCATCTGAAAATAAGTCTTAATGAACCAGAAGCCATAACAAATACTAAATGTATCTGGAGTTAATAATACGTCTCTGGAATTGAGCAGCAGGTTCCCCAAACTCGAACAACTCTTCAACTGTAGAAAACGTGCGAATCATACTCGTAAAAGCGCACGAAAGTTCAAGCAAGAGAGTAAGTGGGTAGAGTCAATTTCACCACTTAATAACTTCGCGACGAATGTTGCCTGTTGAATTTGTCGCCGTCGTTGTAACGTGTCCATGCTTAGCAAGCGACATCTCTCAGCATACGGAGGTAAGTTTAGTGGATCTCTCCAAGGAAGTTGTCTTAATGCTCGACGAATGAATGTTTTTTGGATACGTTCTATTCTGATGTTCCAGGAAAGTTGGTAGGGAGTCCAAACAACAGATGCAGTCTCGATAATCGGACGAACGAGTGAACAGTACAGTGCTTTTAAACAGTACGGATCCGAAAAATCTCTTGAGATTCTTGATATAAAACCAAGCTGACGATTAGCCTTAGTGATTACCATTGAACGGTGTAAGTCAAACGTAAGTTTAGGGTCCAGCATTACACCTAGGTCGCTTACTTGTTCTACTCTTTCTAGTACAAATCCATCAATTGAGTAATCGAATACGATTGGCGTTCTTGTGCGATTAAATGTCATGACCACACATTTTGATATACTGACGGAAAGCTTGTTTAAGCGGCACCAATCAAAAAATTGGTCTAACATTGCTTGGAGCTGACGGCAATCCTCGACGTTCTTGACAACAATGTATAGTTTGAGATCATCGGCGTATATGAGCACACAACCACTCGGCAAGAGGAGCGTCACATCGTTGAAGAAGATTGTGAACAGCAATGGTCCTAAATTGCTGCCCTGGGGAACACCGGAGGTTGCAGCAAATGGTGATGAAGTGCACGAACCCAGCTTGACACGAAGTGTTCTGTTGGAAAGATATGATTTCAGCCAATCAACCAAACCATCCGAAATTCCCAGGCGAGACATTTTCCGAAGAAGAATACCATGATCGATGCAATCGAATGCCGCTTTCAGATCGGTATAAACGGTATCTACTTGAGCCCTATTTTCCAAGTGATTTATACATGTTGAGGTGAACTCCAGCAAATTTGAGCAAATTTGATGTAACTGAGCGTCCTGGCATAAATCCGTGTTGCGTTGCTGAAATATGCTGCTTCCCCAGCACAGTCGTCAGAGAGTAGTAAGTAGACGAAACATGTCGATGTAGCATTACGACGAGGTTTGGTAGTTCAGTGGTTACCGTTTCTGCTTATTGATCAATCCTGGCCTGTCCCCTTCCATGCAATTTTTCACTTTGCCTTATTCTATCCCCACTAGATTTAAATAAAAAAAAACAAATTCTGCTTCAACCGATCGCATCACTTACCACAGTAAATCCTAATCTAAAAATAACCTACCTCACTTACATAACTATCCTTCCCGAGACAGCCGTGGAGATGTAGAGGTATTCTCGGTCTCTAGTAACAACCGGACGTCGAACTAATCATCCTTCCCTCCCCAAAAGACCGTGAGGACGTGGCCGGCGCTCATTTGAATTAATGTGTATTGTACATTGAAGATGGAAAGCTTATCCCATGCACCATCTATGTAGTTCTCTGTGCAAGTGGATTAGTTGTGATCATTCACGGAGGAGCAACTACGAAGTGCACGGTCAGATAACGCTAACTCGACGGCAAACACATTCATTGATACGTTGGATGATCTTCTATCATAGCAGAAATAGTGCGAAATAGGAAACCATGGTCATCATAAAAAAAGGAAATCGAAAAAGAGAATTGGCTTTCACCCTTCTGCTTCTAAGCCTCTTACAGTCATCGTCATAGCATCGCACCGCTTTTGGTTCTAGGGGACTTGCTGGTTGCAATTTTAGATCAGGATTCACTGTGATGCGATCAGTTGTAAAAACAGCAGAAATTTCCTGCTCAACTCTCATGTGGACCACAAATACGAAGAGCCAGCTGAATGTCCTTTGGCATAATTGTGACACGCTTTGCGTCAATGGCAAAATGGAAGGATCATATAGGTCGGTTTATTTCAGTAGTAGTAAAATTTACGTTTATTTTCTGGGTTTTTATGTTTCAACATTTGATTTAACATTTCAATTGGTTAGCCTTTGGCTCTTCATCTTTGTTCTAGTTAATTGGTAATTCTAATGTGATGATTGCGTTTAGCGCTAATTTACCGGATACCCTATGTGGGATTGTTTTGGTTTGAATTTAAAAATTTGATAACCCAACAAACAATTTTAGCTGCAAACTAGCTTATACAGGCAAATATTAGCTGTATAAGCCATTTTTTGGCTGTGTAAGCTAATCTGCAGCTAAAATTGTTAGTTGGGAACCTACCTACTTGAGCACCTAACTACTTAAACTAGGTTGCCAAATCACGAATGATCTGGTGGCTTGATCGCAGACAGGTGACTCTGAACCTTTCCAGCGTGGAAGTCTTTCGCTCCTCGAGTGTTTGAAGACCTGCCAGGTGGTGAATCTCAGAATTACTAGTTCGCGGTGGGCTGTTAAGGATCCTTCTGAGGATCTTGTTTTGGATCCTCTGAAGCTTTAAGTGGTGGCACTTAGCACAACTCTCCCAGATTGGCATACCATACTCAATAGCCGGCAGAATGATTTGCTTGTGGACAGCAAGCTTGTTTTTGAGGGACAGGGTGGACTTCCTGTTTATCAGAGGGTAGAGCGACCTGATCAAGATGTTACACTTGGTGGATGTCTTGTCCACATGGGATCGGAATAGAAATTTGTTATCGAGCGTGAGACCAAGGTAGACTACTTCACTCGACCATTCGATGGAAATGCGTCCAACAATGCCATGGCAGATGTATTGGAAACGGACTTGTTCCGCTTGATGATGTTAGTAACCCGTGCGAGTTGGTGGATGATAGAGTGGCCTTTCCTAAACCCGAATTGCTCTTTGAGAAAGATGTTATTAAATATCACTTGAAAATACCAGCAGACGGCTGAGTATCAATTTTTCGAATAGCTTCGAGATGGAGGACAAGAGGCTGATGGGGCGATAGCTTTTGGCACTGGTAGGATCTTTGCCAGGCTTGTGTATTGGAATCACTTTGACTAACTTCCAGCATGCAGGGAAGTAGCCAAGCTCCAAACATTTGTTGAAGATAACGGTAAGATGGTTGAAGAAGTCAATACTCAAGTTTTTCAACTCGAGGTTGACTACATCATCCATACCCGCAGCCTTCATGTTTTTAGTACTTCTAATAGCTGCTATCACCTCATCAGCCGATATTCTACTATGATCATGCACTACTACGGGGTGTCAGCGACTCTAGTCATTGCCTCCAGTACGGCAGGCCCATGGGGGCTCACCATGGTTTGACCAAGATTATGTGAAATCACAAAATGTTGGCCAAGAGCATTGGCCTTTTCAACTGGGGTTATCAGTAGGGATGGGTCTAAGTTCTGGTCAACAGAGGAAAACGGAAGGATCGGTCTCGACTTATTTTTCAAAATTTTGGTCATCTTCCAAAATGGTTTTGCACAATCTGGGAGAGAGCGAATCTTTTTGGTAAAATCGTTATTTTTGAGTTCCACCATCCTGGCCTGGATAATTTTGGTTAGCCTATTGACATTGGTCTTCAAGTGGGGCAGCCCAGAACGCTGGAACTGCCTACGAATGGTGTTACGGAGCCTGATAAGATCTTTGGTTGGGCTGTCAATGTTCAGAGTATGACTCACCTGTCTGGATGCTGGTACGTGCTGCTCCCTGGCACGGGATATCGCCTCTTCGATGGCTTGCAGACACTGATCGACTTCTTCGTACGACTCCGGTAGGACGTCGTAATCGATTGCTGTGTCCACACAGCGCTGATACTGCTGCTAGTTGACACGATGGTAATTTCGCCGGGAAACTTGAAACCTATTGGCCGAGGAACCTACTTCGGCCACCACCGGATAGTGGTCCGAGCTCATTTCTTGATAGGCGATAGGTTGGGAGATGTTATCGCCCATGTTGCTGATGAAGACGTCGATGGTGGCATGAGCTCCGGATTGACTCAACCGGGTGGGAGTGTCCGGGCACAGGATGCTGTAGTGGGCTTCCTGCAGATCGTTGAACAAGAAAGTGCCGTTTTGGTTTCGCCGACTATTGCTCCAGGCTTGATCCTTGGCGTTCAGGTCGCCAGCGATGATGAAATTTTACCACCTAGGTTGATGATGTTTCTTTGGAGGTCTGCGGCCGAGCCTTCTCTAATGTTGGTTTGCTTGGGGCAGTATACCGCGATGATGGTGATTGGACCAAGCGATGTGCTCACCTCAACTCCGATGGCTTCGATAATTTTCAGCTGGGAGCTTGGTAGTAGCCGGCAGCTGATGTTCCGCCTCGCAGCGATGGCGACTCCCTCTCCCCCGGAGCTGGTGCGGTCAAGGCTTACGAGCCGAAAGTCGGGAAGGAAGACGTTCACCTCGGGCTTCAAGTGAGTCTCGGTGATGACGGCTATGTCGATGTGCCGTTCGTTGAGAAAGTCAACAAACTCGATGTTTTTGCTCTTTAAGGAGCAAGCATTCCAATTTACGATCTTGATGGTTTCACGGTCCATACTTAGTGACAAGGGACAGAGCAGCATGTAGCTGTTCAGATCGAGTCTTGCAGGTGCGCATGATGATGATGACCTCGGCCACGAGCGTCACAAGTTCCTCCAAGGTGAACGGAGAATCTTCGACAGGTTCACCTGAGACAGCAGCAGCGTATGATAAACCAGGGGCGGTGGATGAACCTGGAATTGGTTGGGCCGCTGCAGCAGCAAGACGATGCTGAACTGTCCGACTGTTGGGAACCATTTTGATACTCGCATGGTTGGCTTGTTGGTTGTTGAGCGGAAGCGGGGCTAGGTTCGGAACATGTCGACGGGGCTGGAGAGCTAGGTACTGGACTTCCGTGAGTACAGGAAGCGAACGATGATTACGGAGGCGACCGACCTGGTTGTTGATTGTAGCATTCCGACGGATATTAATGAACTCCACTCGCTTGGGACATCCGCGATTGGAGGCTTGATGGCAGTTTTTGGTGCCATGGCCATAGGAGAGGCAGTTCATACACTGCGTAACATCACGATGTTGGGGTTTGTAATGCTCCCAACTGATGATGACCTGAAACAGGTCCTGGATTTTGGATCTCAGAGCCGCAAGACTTATGGATCCCTTCGTGAAGTGAACCAGGAACAACTGGTCACGGAAGCTGGTATTGTTGATGGAACGGCGGTTCATCTGGAACACGGCCTCAGGTTGGAGCCCAAGCCGCTCCAGCTCGGACTTCACCGCAGCCGCCTCGAACGACGGTAATCCTCGCAAAACCGCCTTCAGTGGCTTGCTCGATGGCAGATCATGCGTGAAGAAGTCCACGTTGTTTTCCTTCAGGAAACATCTTATTTGATTGCACTCCTCCAAGCTGGAGCACATGATTTTGGAACCGATGCTGCAAAGCTTGAAGCGTGGCAGCAGCTTGTGTTTTGCCAGTTCGGCACCTAGCTTGGCAACATCCTTCACCGGCGTGAAAAGCGGGGAAATTCGCTCTTTTCTTGCAATGGGAGCGGCGTCACCATCGCCATTTTCTTCCGGGAGTACTGCATACTGGTTTGATTGCAGTACTCGTTTTCCGGCGTCATCCTGCGACGCGCTGGGCTTGATTAGAACCTTCTTTGAAGGGCCCGCTGCTGACTCATTGGCACGTTTACGCACCATTTGTTTCGTGTTTGCAAGCTCAAGTAAACTTGCCAGAACGCGAGAAGGTGGCGACACTTCCACGGCGCAACGCGACAGCACAAAACGAAACAAAATCGAAACAAGATCTCGAGCGAAAAATACGGACTGAACAGCTCAACAGTCAAGCAAAGAATGACCTCGGTTTATTTCACTCGTCGAGGGTATACTTATACCTGCGTCGAGTAGCATATTTTTAATACAGGAAGGGAACAATACATACAGCAAAATACTGAAAAGGGAAGGAGTTTCGCTTCTTATGCTACGGGCACAAAACGAGACACCACCGACCGTCGAAACAACTATCAGTTATTCTCTTGGCACCGAAAACCAGTGGAAAGGCCGCTAAGAAATCTGGAAAGGCGCAGAAAGTCATCGTCAAGGGAGAGAAGAAGAAGAAGAAGAAGAAGAAGAGACAGCGCAGGAAGGAAAGCTATGCCATCTACATCTACAAGGTGCTGAAGCAGGTCCACCCGGACACCGGAGTCTCGTCGAAGGCCATGAGCATCATGAACAGCTTCGTCAATGACATCTTCGAACGTATTGCTGCTGAGTTGTCCCGTCTGGCTCAATACAACAAACGCTCGACGATCACGTCCCGCGAAATCCAAACTGCGGTCCGTCTGAAGGAACCAAGGCCGTCACCAAGTACACCAGCTCAAAGTAGATTCGTACCATCCAAACAATCAATCGGCCCTTTTCAGGGCCACACATCGATTTCCAACGTGAAAGAGGTTTTGATGATATTGAACTTTTAAATGTTCGAAAGGAGCGTTAGCAAAGTTCGCAATAAGAAATCAGCTGATTTGCCTTATGAAAATAATGTTGACAAAAAGAATAAGAGGTTGTATCCATTACACTACACGACCGAACGGTTTTTACGTCTGTGATATCTATATGGGGGTACACTTTGTGAAAACGGAAAATAGAACATAAAATAATTGTGACACGCTTGGCGTGGATGGCGAACAGACCGACCAGATAGGGCCATTAACGGCCGAGCTCTGGAAGCGCAGATCGGTCTTGAAGTCCTGGTCGATTTCACGGACCAGACGCTTGAAAGGCAACTTGCAGTCAGCAGCTCGGTCGATTTCTGGTAACGACGGATCTCACGCAGAGCGACAGTTCCTGGCCTGTAGCGATGGGACTTCTTCACTCCTCCGGTGGCCATCTGTTTGAGAGGAGCCTTTCCTCCGGTGGACTTACGAGCGATCTGCTTGATGCGGCCATTATACGATGTGGATACGTTGAACGCAATCTGTTGAATAAAAATTTTAATTACCCAGCACAATCATGGGCATTGGCTTCAAGCAATATTTCATCAGATTCCAGACAAATCTGTACGATAGTAAATAGGACAGAAAATGAAAATATAAAAATGAGGTAAGGAAAAAATTAAAATATGGTGGCTGAATAAAGATACTCATTACCATTAATTATATAAGACCACGTAGTCCTACGTCACCATTGCGTACAACCCCATAGGGCTGTCCCTTGTAGTTTTTTTTTTTTTCTGAAGGAGGGAACTCCAGAAATCGGTAGGATTCCACAAAAAAACTGATCGGGACACCGAGGTAGCCCTCACCCCCGCAATTAGGAAAGAAGATTCAACATCAAGCTCAACATTGAAAAAACAGAAGATTTCCACCTCTAACAAGCTAGAATATCTGTAACTGTATATGAATGAAGCGGATAATAATTATTATATCAATTATTGATCGATAGCTGAAGACAGATATTTCTTTCGTCGTGGATTTCATATACACAATACCAAATCAGAGAGATCCATCCTACTAGCTGCCGCTTACAAATAGGTTCGTTTTTTTTTGCGAAATTTAAATCCAGATATTGCTTAGAAAGGGGTGTGCTCGGTTTGGTTATCTGGGCTTGATTGCGACTGGAATTCGGTTGGGATGGATTCGAGAGGACTTTACTGGTTTGAGCCAGGATGTCAAGCATCATGACATGAGAATGCGACGGCTGAGGGAGTAATTTTTGAGATCGGAGTGGAACTCCAGACATACATATACAGCACATTCTTTTGGATAGGTGTTGCGGATGACGTTAAGGGATGCGAATTCGAATTCCTGTAAGTTGTTTACATAGACGTGGGCATTATTTCTGGAATTCCGTGCTTTCACTGTGCATGATTAAATTGGTAAATTTTTGGAGAGCAAAAAAAAGAATTCTGATTATAAACAAAAGTGGATGTAATGCTAGCCAGTAAGCATTAAATTTCAATAAACGTTTTGACAGCTAGGTCGACATTCAGAAACACCCATAAACACCTTCCGACACACTAAAACAAACAAGAAACACAATTACCCCCCGTAACGTGGGTAGATCACCTTTTCGTGGTACGTTACGGGATGTAAGATCTACCACCGATTCCTAGTCCTGACTACTTCAAACTAGGGAAACAGGATTTTTCAGTAATCAAAGGAACACATCTTAGTCCTTGTTACTTTTTATGCCTTGTTGATAGTGACAAGACTTGACTTTGTCCACCGAGGATGATCTTGAAACAAGGAAAAAATGAGTTAGTTAGTCTTCATCTATGTGATTCCTAATCTTCTATTCGTTGTTCCCTAATTTGAAGTGCTTAAGACTAGGGTTCTGATGCATGGTCAATATCGGTGTCATTCCTTAATTTTGTTGCTAAGGAATCCAATTTTGACTGACAAAGGGGCGTGCCTTTGGAGGGTCTTTCAACACTCCGAAGGGTATAAATAGCGGGACCTTTCAATTAGAGTCGGATCCTTGAGATAAATGCTAGAATGACAACTGTAAAACAAATCGTATACTTCATCATTTCTCAATAGTGATGGAGAGAGTAATGCGACATGCACTAAACTAAGGACACGAGAAATACTACAATAGATCAAATTACTGGTCGCAGTAGTGTTAGGTTCCGAACAGTGGAATACAATTACAAGCTTCGTTCTGGTGTTACGGAACTGAAAAGTGTTTGTGATGGCCATGCTAAGTAATATGGAGACCTGTATGCGACAATGCAATGACAGTGCTGCAACCCATTGAATCTGCATACAGTTATTCGTCGCAAGAGTTTGAAACCAATTTCTGCACGGTTTCATGGCGAGTACAATAAGAACTTTGCCAAAAATTATCGAAGGTCGGAAAGTATGCGTGCAATGTTATCTGGCGGTTAAACAAACATGGATAATGACCAGCCATCTGCAGGTAAAATTCATCTTGAATTTGTTCATTTCAATCTCAGCCGTACGAAAGCACGTCTATATTGTAGCGAAACAATCCGAGTTTTTTAAATTCACTCGTCATAGCTTACGTGAAGGTGAAGTCGTTGTAGTGGCAGATTTCTCTGAAAACTATTCTTTTTGTGTTTTTAAGTGTACAGGGAATTCATTATAATAATTTGCTGGCAACCGTTCACACTTTTGCTGCCTACACTGTACACCAGAATAAAGTTATACCATTGAACTGCGTCCTAATGTCCGATACTCTAGAGCACAGCACAACAACATTTCATGCTTTCCAGCGCCATTTCATAGAGTATCTCAAATCCTAGGTATCACAGTTGTCCAAAATTTCGTACTTCTCCCGATGGTGCGGTACCCTGGTTTTCCACGAAAGCAAATTTGGGTGCCCACTGACTGGCACTACTTTGCGGCACATAGCAAAGGACCAAGCGACGGATTGGGATGAACTTTGAAGAGATTGGCAACGCGCGCTAGTTTACAAGGAGCCACTATTCATACGCCAAAGGAGCTCTACACACCAACTTTCTTAAATCTTGTTCGGTACTTTTTTTGCTGGAATCGTTCTGTAAAATATAATTTTCACCGAAAGCTTTGTAAAAAGTATTGTTTACCAATTTTCCGCAATCAAAACTGTTGAATTTCCGTAATTTATAGAAATTTACCGAAAACTGTAAATCAACATTAAATTGATCTAAATTGTAAATGGCTGCAATTCCGCAATACTGTAAACATTGTGACGAATGTGCTGTAAACATAATCTTTTACAAAAACAAACAGCAGTAATGTACCAGATATTTGTAAAAAATACAGAACAGATTTGTAAACTTCATTCTGTAAAGCTCAACCTTTGCTGTCATTTTGAAGTTGAGTGTGCTTCGGCTATCCGTTGTGACTAGTAAGAACGTTACTTTTTTCCTATAATCCGTCCAATTTACATCGAAAGTATTAATTATATAATTGATGAATTTGTTGGATCCGGCTATACAGTTATAAATAAAGGACGTAAATAGTTAACGATTAACAAAGACATAAGTTCAGAAGTGCTAGTCATAGAATCATAAACCACACACTTAGAAAAAATCATATGCTCTGAGACTGACATATATGAGCGTCAATTTTGACTTGAAATTGAGTCATGACATAACGTCGAGTAACAAACTTTTCAGTCTCGATGCACTTAATTTTAAATGAAATATTTGTTTACGTCTGATACTTTATGTCAAAGATGGATTCCGTCACGTGTAAAATTAGTTATTTCTAAGTGTGCAGGTTATTATTATTTTAAAAGAATTGACTACCCCCTTGTCTCCCTTTCTCATTTTACAGCTGGTATAATCAATTTGACAGATCTATGTCTTTATATACCACTTGAAATCACTGAAATGGGCTCGATTTTTGATGATCGAGTTCCACATATGTTATGTGTTTTGGGTGCAATTATTTCTGCTCCGGTAATCGGATTTCTTCTTCATTGATCTCACTGAGGACACAAAGGATTCTCCGGAAATACATGGCGGTGCTCAAGTATCAAGGCGCTAACTTTTACCGTTGTAGAGATCGAAAAATGATAATCAAATTATACCCGAAAATCTAGTACAAAGTCCAGTGGAATTTTTCATATTCCTTGTTCTCACAAACTACACAATGTAAATTCTTTGAAAATAAATCCCAAAATGTTGGTTTAGGATCTGACTAAGGGGTCAGAAAGTACCAAAGTGCTAAATTTCAAAAGTCGGTTTTCATGCTTCTGTGGAACCTTAATTTAAAATGATTTTTTTTGGTTCATTGTGAGCCGTACTATACAACAAATGTCGGTGATTAGTGCACCGTGATTTTTTTTTTAATTTGTACAATATTTGATTGGGTTTTTTTTATCAGAACGATTATTTTCTTTTATTTTTTATATTCGTCAAAACCATGAAGCAATGAGGCACACGCTATGTTTGAAAGCACTTTTTTTTGCAACTTTTATGTACCTCAGTTTTTTTCTTCACAGTAATTTAGTATTGATCAGAACAATCAAATCTGTGAAGGTTTAAAATATTTTATCTTGGGTTTTTTGAGAAAAAGTGTTTTGAAGTACACTTAGCCGTTTATTAAGGCGAATATGGACTATTAACTATACAAAACTGTTACGGATCGAAACAAATTCAGCTGAAAATGATTCAAAGGAGATTAAAGTAGTCAAAATACTATGTTTCAACGGTATAGTAAGATTCCTTTTTCGGTATCATAATATATCGTAGACTTATTATGATCTCATAATGTTTAAATTAATAAAATAATTAAACTCTTGTAAAAATCTATGATTTCATAGCTTACAATATGAAATTTCGAGGCTACCGGAGGTTTCAATAGACCAACTTTCAATAAACCAACATGAGTTTATCACCGAAACAATGTCTCATAATAGCATCCATATTGTCCAAAACCTTTAGTTGATGATAAAAATTGCATCCTTCCAAAACTACACATTTATCAAGCAATGGCGTTTATCAAGTACCTACAATGGCAACCAGCGAATCCAAATTGCGCATGCCGAGTTGCATTTGTGGCAGCCACCCAATTTGAAGCGTTATTGGGATCATTTTTGGCCGAGTTGTCTATCCTCACAGCTGATTTGAGGCCTGGCTGGATAGTTATTAAATGCTGACCTTATTATACTCAGATTAAGATCTTTCTTATAGCTGAGGAATTCTTCGTTAGAAATGTAAAACAAAAATCTGACTGTTTCAAATTTAAACCCACTGGTCTTCCTGCGACGTTTGAAAAACTAGCCTCGGTTTGTTTTTTTTTGCCTGATAACTGCAGCGGTTCTCAAGCTTTTTTCGATTCCGACCCACTTTTAGAAATTGTATAAGCCAATATTAGATGGAGATGTTATTAGGCCAACATGATGTTTAAAATCTATGATACCCTAAAAGATAAAATGACTAGAATCGACAAATTTGTGGTAAATCGGTAAAACCATCCAAACATTATGTGAAGACTCTGAAAGAGCTATCTAAACGCATGAGTAACATAAAAAAATCAAGTAAAAACTACAGTCAACTCTCCACAACTCGATGTCCACTAACTCGATAATGAGTTATATGTAGAACCATAGTAAACATTAATTCCATGGCTACTGTAATAGCGATTTTGTATGGGATTGTTATTCCCATTGTGTCCCTTGAATATCGAGCTGTAGAAAGTTAAATGTATTTAGAAAAACACCTCATAACGATGTTAAAAAACAGAGTCAAGACCTACTTTTAACTCCAGACTGATTATTAAAAAAAAAGCCAAAATAAAGACTTTAAATTGCGGAAAAGGCCTCAAAACGCTAACATGCCTTAGAAACATCAGAACACAAACAAGGCCTCACAATCGCTAAAAAAGATTAAAACGACCTAGAATTGCATCATAAACGCTTAATTGGTCTACAAATCTTATCAACAGCCTGAAAATGACAACTCCTATAATAATGACACGTTAAAATACCCAAAAATGGTTCAAATAAGTCAAAATGGCCTAGACTTTCCAAAATGGCCTAGACTTTCCAAACTGGCTGTATTATGCCAAAATGGCTTTCCAATTGATTACCCCTGCATAATTTTAAAATCAGAATTATTCTACATGCTAGTTAAAAATCCTATGATCAACAATCTGAATTTCTGCGACCCACCTGATGGTAGCTTGCGACCCACTGATGGGTCGCGACCCATAGGTTGAGAAACGATGCTCTAATGCAAAGTGATCCTTAATTTCGTCAGCCAATTCGGAGAGATTCTGATGTTTCCGCTTTTCACTACCTGTATGACCTTTCTTAGGAGAAACCTGCGTCAGACATGATTTGCAAATTTCTACACACCTTGGCAGTTAAAATGGTTTGAACTTCTTGTTAACATCTTTCTTCTGGATATTTGTGAACTTAAATTTTCATAAACTTATTGTTTATACAGGTAAACGACAATGTAACATGCGTGAGCCGTAATCACGATATTTTTTTAGGTGGCGAACTCTCATTTTTTACGCCCTTCCACCCTGCTCATGCCGTTGATCACATTGCATAAGGGAAGCGTAAAAGAGAAAGATATCTTCTTTTTTCTTTTATTTAACGTCGGTCTCTGTTCCGCAATCTAGTGCCAATCACCGACGGACATCGATTGCCATCCATTGACGGCAATCGAATGTGCAGGAAGGCAGCTTCCACACCTGCGTAGGATATCGCACCCATTCACAACACACATGGGCCGGGACCAACGGCTTTACTTCCCTTTCGAAGGAAGACGTGACCAGAGATTTTTATGCCTCAGAAAAATCCCACCGACCTCGGCTGGGATTGAACTCAGACCCATCGGGGTGCTAGAAAGCAGTCACGCTTACCACTACACCACCGGTGCCGGCAAGAGAAAGATATATATCGCAACAAATTCTCTCTTCTCTCTTGGCAGAATTTTCCTGAAGTTCATAGAACTTCTCTGAAGATCGAAGCACATCTTGAAACTTTGAATAATTTTCCTGAAGTTTGTAGAACTTTCCCGAAGCTCAATGAGCTTCTCTGAAAATTGCTCTGATTCTTTGGAGGAGCGTCTTTAAAGTTTGCAGAACTTCCCTTAAATGCACTACAGTCCCCTATAGTTCGCGGCGTTTCGTAGAAAGTTTGAAAGCTTCCTTGGACAAAATAAGGGAACTGCAAGAAGCTCTAAAAATTCTGTAGTAATTCAAGATAAGGGCTACTTAAACATACTGGACAAGAGTAGCTAACCTCGTGTGGGTTTCACTCCTATATTATGGGCATTATCGGTTAAACGATTTTCAAACAAATTTGTCATGTTTACCAGAATTTATTTTCGATCTCGCCGTTGAGTCAAACACCTCTATTTATTTTTAAAAATCTAAGCAAATTTTCCATCCGTCAGGATTAGAAACGCCGCCTTCGCCACTTACTGAATATGGAACAGAAAAATTTCGGATACTTACTCCTTTATTGAGCTCCGATAAAAAATCTTTCGACGATCGTCACTCAGCGCGTGAATTTTTTTTTGACGGAGTCGCTTTTCCGAAGTACAACAAGCGAATTCTCTATTTTATTCGTGAGATCTTTTTTCAATTTTTCCAGATTTTCTACACGATAAATCTACAAAAAAAAAACACTCGACACAGGACGAAAATCAATGCTTACTATGATTACGTGGCTGTCTTGGATTGTCCTGCTCGTTTTTCTTCTCTTTTACTCTTATGAGGGAAGAGAAATTTAACAAGAAGTTGTTCTAGCAACAAATATTAATTGATTTTGTGCAAACTCGTCATAACCAATACGGATCTCACTTGCGAGTCAAAGAGAGCTCTTTAACGCCATTTGGATTAAGTAAATCAACTGTTGAACCTTGCCTAACTGCATTTGTTCAATTCGTAATAGTTTGGTATCGGCAATAGTCGATATACGCTTTAATAATCGGCGTTGTAAACTTCAAAACACTCTTTCTCAAAAAACCCAAGATGGAATATTTTAGAACCAGCACAGATTTGTTTGTTAGGATCAATACAAACATCCTGTGAAGAAAAAACTGAGGTACATGAATATTGCAAAAAAAAGTGTTTTCAGACATAGCGTGAGGCATCGAGTGACTTTAGTAATTGCTTGAAACTGTGTCATTAATTAGGCAACGTTTAAAAAAAATCCTGAATTCAAAAATATTATGCTTGCCTCTTCCATAAAAAAATCAACTCCCTTACCTTTTCCAAAATATTACAAATAATCTACTACGAGAAAGTTCACTTTCGGATATTTTCACCAAACTCACAACATCGAGTAATTGTATTCAATTTCCATAAATATTTATTCCAATTTGACTAGAATCATTCTCTTACTTAGCCGCACTAATAAAGCCTTACGGAAACTACTTTGTACATCATAATCCTTGAAGGATGTGTCCCACACGGAAGGGAAGCATTGCCATTCGAATCCAATTGGAGATCAGTTCTGAATTTGCATGTTTACACATTTCACATTTCACCTTTCACGGAACGTGGCGGGTGCCAGCGAGTTTTCGGTTTGAGTCGACGGTGGTTCTGGAGAATTGAGGGAAAAGAAAACAAAAATAACGTGGGATTAGTATTTCGTCTTCTAGGAAAACACATTATAATCGATGAAAAGACACTCACCATTCCGTCCGCAGCCTCCGACCTCGTCGCCATTCATCAGTCTTGTACTAGCCAGGTGAGTTAGATTTTCGCATCCACTACTGCTGTTGCTGCCACCAGGAAATTGCATCGAGCAGCTCTTCATCGTCGGTATTCTGCGGACTGAGTTCCGCCGGTTGATGGTACCCGTCCACCGGGTGAGTCTTGTACACGTGATGGATTGGCTGTGAGTACGTCCCGGTACTGAAGCTGGTCATGCTCGGAAGGGTTGTCGTCGTTATCACCGTCACCGGTGTCGGTACCGGAGCCGGCGAGCTACTGAGGCCCGAGTACACATCGAACGGCTCTCGCTTGAAGGACGTCAACGTTTCCGGTTGACTACTACTGTAGCTGGAGTACTCGGACAGTTGCGATGGGGCCGGGGAGGATGCCGTTGAAGATTCCGACATGGATCCATAGTACGAAACGGGTGATAGGGCTTGCAAATCGATGGTAGACTTGGTAGATTCACCGCTATTTTCCAGATCTTCGTCGAGCATACGCTGCAAACTTCGGATGTACTTGACGGCCACTTTGAGCGTATCCACTTTGCTGAGTTTTTTGTGCGGTCCACGACCACCATTGGTAAGAGCCGTGACCACCGGGCTGGGAATGTGCTGTCTCAGGTTCGCAAATCCATTGTTGACCTGCTTGACACGGTTCCGCTCGCGGGCGTTACGGCGCTGAATGGATACCGTCTGTTGGGGCGTCACGGAGTACGGTAGGGTACAGTATTTCTTAGAGATCATGGGACGATCTTTCAAGCTCAAGGTTGGCTGATGATGGCCAACTCCGGCGTTTGCCGGTGGAGCTGGAGCGATCGGTCGCTTGCGGTACGGATTCACCGGTGTCGTTTGCTGAACCAACGTCGGTCCGTTTGGTATGTACATATTCTGCCCGAGGGCCATGCTGCGAACCACTGTAGCCATCACGAAATTTCACTCAAACAATTCTTCGAACGATCGCACTTTAAAGTCCAGAAAAATATACCAAAGTCTCTCTTCACTTGAACAACACACTTGTTGATATATCAGAAAAAGGATCACACAAAATTCCACGCACGGCTTTTCCTTCGACCATCAAACTCTTCTCCTTTTCTTCAGTGCACGATCTTTCCGCGTTGAAGGTAGCTCCCGGAATGGTACCTTTCGTCCTAAAGCAGTTGCATTATGTAGTATGCTCTTTTGTCCCAGCACCTGCATGCAGCAACCCAACATTCAGAGCACCAACACACCTCCACCGACCAACCGTCCGAACTCATCCTTAAGGGCCTTCGCCGAAAAAAAAAAAACTAAAACATGATGCGGAGAAAGAAAGAAATCAACCAAAAACCTGATCGCATCGTCGCGCAACATAAGAAAAAAAAACTCAAAAGGCGCGCTGCCCCGACGCCGGTCGATCGATCGGAAAGAGAGAGAACGAGGTGGCGTGCGCCTGCAGCGACCGAGCGAGCGGATATTTTCGGGTATGATCCAAAACGACGAGAGCCGAACGATGATCACGCGTGGCACCACACGACCGGCGAGCGCCTGCAAAAGGATCATCGTTCCTTCGTTCGTTCGATCGTCCGTGCGAACATGCGGAGCATCATCGTCATCGCAGTGATCTTCGGGCAGGCAGGGAGTGGGATAATTGATTGTGCGAGAGCTGCCGCGGTTTGGACAGCAGCCAACCAGTTCAATCGGTGGATGGATATGGATCGTAATTATGTGGGCTTGTGGGAACTCGTGGGGAAGACTCCAACGAGGAATTGATGCTGACGTTCGGTGATCGATTGCGTCTTTCAGCAACAGCGGTGTCCAGTTGTAAAGGAGCACATTTTCGAGATTCTGATGTCATTAACTTCAACGTACGTACTAAGGGCCAGTGCTGTAAATTGTCACCGCCACTGCATAAGTATGAGCTACTATGACGACCATTGTAGCATCGTCATCAAACGACGTGCGACAAGACAAAAACTGTATCACAAGTGCCTCATCAGTGCGATGATAAACAGTCTGTCATTTTGTATTGACGATCAAAGCGTGTTGCTAGTCAGCTCACTACGATCGTCAAGACAAGAAATCTCACGTCACCTTTCAAATTAACCAATCTAAATTGATCGATTTGCTTCAAGGACTCTCTCTTTCGTTAATAAATTGACTGCATTCCTATTTCGGGCAAATGTTTCTACATAGACTGTCAAAAGAAAGTATTATTAAGTGTATTGGGCGATAAGAACGGCTGAAGATGTTTTTGGAGCCGAGTTATTAACGAAAGAGACTGTCGATGCATTGATAGGGTTGAAATGTTGTATGTTGAATGAATCCAGCCTCTCTAATACGCCGTATGACTTCAATTATAATACCCATCTGTGTTTCGCTCCCCAGCGTGTTGTGGGTTAGGAAGTATCCCAAAGCCTATAATTGAATTAAGTAAAGGTAAAGATATATATATACAGGGTGAAATAGGCTAGAACAATCCTCTTTTTTAAGAAATATATAATACAGCTTACAAAGTGTAGATAAGCTCCCAACTAACAATTTTAGCTGCAGATTAGCTTATACAGCCAAAAATTGGCTTATACAGCTAATTTTTGCCTGTATAAGCTAGTCTGCAGCTAAAATTGTTTGTTGGGCTATGTTATTGTGAATATAACGAACAAAACGATGAATACACGACCTGTTTGAACTTATTGAAAACTCCTCGGATCATTACAGTAACAGCTTCGCTTGCTAGGTGTTGTGGATCATTCTTTTCCAGCTTTTGTGTGCGGCCAGTATCAGGAAATCCATGGAAGGTGTCATTTTTAGCCGTGTAGCTCAGAGATGACTTAATTTTCATCCCATCTATTGCAATGATGACTACACGATCTTTCTCCGTAAAATGATTGGTTTTCATTTTAAGTTTTTGTAGTATTGTTTTATTAATCCCTGGGCCAATACGGATTTCTTTTGTCCATCGTTTGATGGTACGTTTAGTAGGCAGACATAACGCTTTCGAATTGCTCATCATTCGGTATGCTTTAGGACCACATAAATAAGAGGATGTTGCAAATTTTCTGAACTCTCTATTATACCTCCTTCCTTTCGGTTTCCTAGAAGCGTTGAACAAACTGTTGTAGAGAACGTGATTGCACTTCAGTGCTTTGAGAAGTCTGCGGTCTTTGCATGTTTTATTTCGGATCTGCTTGAGTTTGACATTTAATTTGCGTACTTTGGCTCGTTGCTTTTTCAGAGCAAGGTCTTTTCGTTTCCATTTCCGTTCAGAGGACTGTAGTTCTTTTTTCAGCAATTGCATGCTTTCTTTTAGCATTTCGTGTGCCTTTTTTTCTGAGCGTAGTAGTGCTTTAAGAGCAGCAATTGAATCCTGTAGGAAACTCTTATTTTCTTCTTCTAATTTGCTTTTGCAGGCATTCGTGAGCGGTTTCACTTCGCAAATGTATGTTTCAAAATATGACCATGCAGAAGGGACAGTTCCATACCATGAATATTTTCGAACGGTACCTTCCAGCTCTGATCAACTCCTCCTGCAAACGTTTCAATATTTGGCATTTCTACGTTGTCCAAGGCCTGCTCGGGTTGAGGTTGATGATGGTGATTGTTAGTTTCGATGACATCAAGAGAGATTATTTCCGCTTCTTGTTGCCGATATCCCTGTATCTCGCCGCCTTCGCCATCGTCCACATCGAGTGTACCTTCTTCCAAATACTGTACATCACAGAAGTGTGTCGAATCGTTTAAGTTGAACTACTGATCATCGTAACATCCAAAAGGTGGCACAGGGCATATGCACATGACCTCAGTTTCGTTAGAAACAAATGACTGTTCGGTTGGGATAGCTCCAATCCTGAGGCTAAAACAATGTACGAAATTTGTTAGCAATAATCATAAGCATCAATTTTCATCTTACCCCTTATCTGGTCTACCGGGATCGCGAAGGTCTTCTGTACAAAAATGGTCTGAACAAATTTTTTTATGCCGAAGGATAGCAGGTCCGAAATCATCAAAAGTTGTTTCTAGTTCCGGAGACTCGCAAAACTTCACCCATATCAATCAGCTTAAATTAATTGCAATAGTTGTATACTGTATCAATGGTTGTCGGTATTTCTTCTTGTACTTACGTGCTTATGTCGATGGAAAATTTGAAAAAAGATTTGCTGAAACACTTAGAGGAACTGTTGAAGCAGTTTTTCACTGCACAAACTCGACCCATCTTTTATGCCGTGTTGGTTTATTTTTAATGGTTAGGAGCAATGTTTACATTTGCAAATCCTAATAATCAAGATTGTCATCACGGTGTCTGGGACAGAAGTTTTGACAGACAGAAGTTTTGACAGACAGAAGTTTTGACAGACAGAAGTTTTGACAGACAGAAGTTTCGACAGTGACAGGGGTTTTGACAGAAGCGATTACCCCTAGTTTAAATTTTCCGTTAAAAGTCCTATGCCAAATTTGAAAATGAGGTGACACGTTGGTTCGTCGGTGCTAACACCACGTAACGGTGACTTATTTTACACAAGTTTCTGACCGAACTTGGACGTCTGTTCTCTGTGCTATAAACCTGTCATTTCTAGCCTATCTGAACTATTTAATAAATGGAAACCATAACATGGGTTACGCTCCTAATAAGCGGACCATCCGAATCCTATCTCTGTCTTATTTCAAATGCCAATGGTTTGGTTTTTTAAATCGGAAAGTCTCATATTTTGGCTCATGCAAGTAGAGGCCTTTCCCTATCATTGGCGACATCATTGAAAATAATCGGTTGAAGGGTCTAGAGCAACTCTTTTTTAAAGTGTATTTTATTTTATCTATGGACTTAAATTAGACAGGTATTGGGTATAGGAAAGAGAGGGTTAGTCATTGGAGAAATGGAAGAAAAAGAATTAGCAAGAGGAGATTAGGGAGTGATGTCGATAGGTTGACTTTTCCTCTTGAAATATTACAATAAGGCTGTTCACGAGACAGTTGCGATCACCTGACTTTTTTGTTTACCAAGAACTTTTGACCGATCACAATAGAACTCTCATTACTCTCATATGAATTTCTGCTTTGTTTATGTCTACATTCAGCAACATTAACACCAGATCACTCACAAACTCTAGATTTCTAGCTGTCAGTTCCGCTGCGAAACGTCTCTTCGATCACTTCATTGTTATTATCTTTGATTTTCAATGAATAACTTTAGTGTGCAAGTTGGCAACAGGATTGCTTTGTTTCAACTGAACGTTTCAACGAGGAGTGGAATTAATTGCCACTGTGACGTATGTATAGCTGCTCGTGTAACATTGCCAAATCTATGCGGCTTAGAGAATAAGGCGAAGAAGCGTGGGAGGCCTTCAGCGATGGAGGTCTCCAAAAAGATGCGCACTTCAAAATTGTATACGGCTTGTTTTTCGGAAATTTCCAAAGGCAAACGGTATTCATGTACCCTCCTTGAACGACACAATAACCTTCTGCAGCTTGTGCAAGGTGAACAACCACGAACCGGCGATTCAGTTGTTGCATCCTATCTGAGCGAAAATCGTTCTGATGAAGAAGGCTCCGTAACTCTTGCTAACATAAGAGGACGTCCTTCCCGTTGGGTCTCAGACTCATGGATCGCATAGTAATACAATTCTATCTGTTGATGACTTGTTCCTAATAAAAACCAAATGCAATTTAAGCACATGGAAAATATTGCAATTAAGCAGTGCCCTCCGAGGAATGGACATCGAATTTCTCTCTTATCTTCCCCTAAAGATAACATAGGGGAAATGACGGCTTCGGCATGACAGACTATTTTCGGCAACCCAAATTTGAAACACTATTTTCACTGGATTTTCTTACGAAAACGCTTCGCTGAATGCATGCAAACGATTCTTTATGCTTCATCTTCAATTTGACTATATTTTTACCACTGAGAAAAAGCAATCTAGCAGGGTTTTCTTGAAATGAAACACACGCACTACAAATTGTAGCTGATTTCG